TGCTAAATATCTTAGCTTTAGCTCTTTGGGTTCTTTAAAAGAAGATTTTTAAGTTTTTACTATATACATATAGGGAAAATCAATGACCCCCTGGGCTTTTTATTTGAACAAACTTGGTAGACACTCACTAGAAGATGTTTCATGCAATGCAAAATATCTAAGCTCTAGCTCTCTGGGTTTTTTTAGAAGAAGATATTTAAAGTTTTTTCTTTTGGTTGCCATGGCAACCACAGTTCTGCATGGAATTAAATTCTTTGAACAATTTTCAAAGGTGACCACCAAAGGAACATTCCTGTGAAGTTTGGATGAAATTGGCCTTGTGGTTTATGAGGAGATGTCATTTAAAGTAAAAGTTTATGGACGACGAACGAAAAGCCATCACAAAAGCTCACTCTGTCACAGTGACAGGTGAGCTAAAAATCCGACTAACTGAAAATAAGTACGGAAACAAATCAGGAGCAATTTTGCTTAATAGCAGGTACGTCAGCATTTATTTGTCAATGTAATGTTGGAATCGAAATAATATATACAAATCAGTTATTTTATCGCTTGATAACATCACTGTTTATTGTTTGGATGCGCATCATTATATCACTCCGGCTATGCCCTCATGATATAATTCCTCGCATCTGAACTCCAAACAGTGATGACGTAATTGAGCGATAAAATCACTGTTTGGGATATATTATTTATTAAACAACATTGTAAAGATCAAACCTTTACTGGTGCACTAAGGCTTAAAGCTGAATGCTGCCAGATGAGCCAAAATATTTCAAGAAAGTCAAACTTAAGAAAAATGTAAAAAGATTTTTAAAAAGTAAAAAGATTCAAGATTTAAAGGGAATCCACAAAGGTTTTTTGCCATGAAAGGACTGGAAATATTTTTTGAGATTAATGTTCCATTTGATGTATGTCTATAACTTGTGTGCAACACTTCAGCTCATCAACTCACTCTGTTTTGATCAAGTGAGATTTTACAGTACAAACAAAATGATAACATATAACTCCTACACCCTCACTTATGTTTTCCTACAAGTAACCACAGTAGGACATAGATTTTCTCAACACATAAAAATTCTCTTACACTTGTTTTCCGGAACCATTTGGATCATCTATCAGTGCTTCATGATATCCTTTTGCCATCTGCTTCATCTCATCTTCACTATATTGAGCCCGCCTTCTAAAATAATGCAATATAAGTAAAGGGTGAAATATTTTCTATATCCAGCGAAGCTTTAATAGCATGAATTTGTTGTGGTTTTTTTTCCTTGACTTTAACGCTGATTTTTACGCATTTTAGGTCATTATCTTGGTGGTCAATCCATCTAACCAACTTTCCTAGACAACTAACCAGTAATTGCCAATTTCTCAGCAAGTGACAGACTACTATCCCACATGATTTCTGAATCAACAGTGAGAGACAAATGACCATTTAGCATTGCACAATTAAGAAATCATATATTGTCACCAGTGATTATCACTTATTCTTACACGACCCGCATTTTTCCCTATGAATATAGAATGAAAGTGTGTATGATTATGCAATAAAATCACTGTTGACATTCTATATTTAGACATATGATGTAACCATTCAACATCATGACATAGCCATCAAAAACACGATGGGCTGAAAATAAGTACGGAAACAAATCGGATGCAATTTAACTTGATACCAAGTACGGAAGCATTTATTTGTTGATATTCAGGTTTAGAATTGAAATAATATATCCAAATCATTGATTTTATAGCCTGATAAAATCACTGTTTATCGTTCAGATGTGCATCATTTTCATACACGGGCAATGCCCTCGTGAAATAATTCCTTGCATCCGAATTCCTAATCCGTGATTTTATTTAGCGATAAAATCACAGTTTGGGATATATCATTTCTTAAATAAAATCAATGCTTGGAGTTGGGATCACAAGGGCAAAAAGTGGAGTTTAAAACAGCTTCCATTATAACCTAGATATTTAAATGGCCCATAGTCATTATTTATTTCTCAAACACAAATAAATTAATCATCATGCTTTTATTCTAATTTTTACTATCTCAAAAACCTTTCATTTTTGGTATCTTGTAACAGTTATAAAAAAATTTTTTTTTATACCATATAGATTTTTGTTTCTTTTGCTCTATCGGGAATTGGTATATATTTTTTAATTAATACAAGAGCCATGTCAACATGGCTATCCCCCGCCGAAAGTGTTTTCTCATTGGAAGAGTGTATATGTAGTAGAGCAGAATAATTCAATTTTAAGAGGTCTTTTGGTAATGAAAACTGATGGCTGAAGTGATTACAGATTTGAAACCTATATGAATACTGATGGCTGAAAATAAGAAAGGGCAATAACTGAAAAATAATGCAGGGTAGGTTATCATTCTTGTGTGCTGCACCCCTCCTCAGTAAAATCTATCCACCTATGAAGTTTCAAGTTGATGCCTCAAATACTTTTGACAAAATACTATAAAAAAGAACAAATGGCAATAACTCAAAAATTGTTTAGGGAAGAGTTATCATTCTTGTGCACAGCATTCCTCCTCAATAAGATCTATCCAGCTATAACATTTCATGTTGACATCTCAAACACTTTTGAGTTATGCTCCACTCAGGTGAAAAATTAAGTATGAAAAATAACAAAGGGCAATAACTCAAAAATTATGAAAGGTAGAGTTATCTTTCTTGTGCACTGCACACCTCCTGAGTGATATCTATGCACCTATGAAGTTTCATGTTGATATCTCAAAGGCTTTTTGAGTTATGCTCTGGACAAAAATTAATTTTGAAAAATAACAAAGGGCAATTACTCAAAAATTATGCAGGGTAGAGTTATCATTCTTGTGCACTGCACTCCTCCTTAATGAGATCCATCCACCTATGAAGTTTCAAGTTGATACCTCAAATACTTTTTGAGATAAGCTGCGGACTAAATAGTATGAAAAATAACAAAGGGCAATAACTCAAAATTATGCAGGGTAGTTATCATTCTTGCACTGCACTCCTCCTCAATGAGATCCATCCACCTATGAAGTTTCAAGTTGATACCTCAAATACTTTTTGAGATAAGCTGCGGACTAAATAGTATGAAAAATAACAAAGGGCAATAACTCAAAAATTAAAAAATTATATAGCAAAGAGTTATCATTCTTGTGCACAGCATTCCTCCTCAATAAGATATATCCACCTATGACATTTCATGTTGACATCTCAAACACTTTTTGAGTTATGCTCCACTCAGGTGAAAAATTAAGTATGAAAAATAACAAAGGGCAATAACTCAAAAATTATGAAAGGTAGAGTTATCATTCTTGTGCACTGCACACCTCCTGAGTGAGATCTATGCACCTATGAAGTTTCATGTTGATATCTCAAAGGCTTTTTGAGTTATGCTCTGGACAAAAATTAATTTTGAAAAATAACAAAGGGCAATAACTCAAAAATTATGCAGGGTAGAGTTATCATTCTTGTGCACTGCACTCCTCCTCAATGAGGTCTATCCACCTATGAAGTTTCAAGTTGATACCTCAAATACTTTTTGAGATATGCTCCGGACAAAAATGTCGGAAGGTCGGACGGACGGAGACTATTTCTATATCCCCCGCCGCCTTTTCGGCGGGGGATAATAATAAATGGTTATTTAACAATCCCGGATTTGGACCAGTACAAGGGTGGTGAAACAATATTGATCGATTCGCCATTCTAGTCTGAAATGATTTCTCAAATATATCCTTTATTTTACAGAACAGTTAATCATTCTATATCCAAAATTTGCTTGCTGGGTTTAAAGTTTAACTGACACTGCAAATGTCAGTCACTCTGCATTATTTCAGTCACAAGCAGAATAGAACAACCCACATTCTATATCCAAAGTTTATGGATAAAACACTGCAAATGACAACATATGATACATTTTCAAAGGACAATAATTAATCTAATACTTTCTGCTACTGTCCTTAAAAGTAAGTGTCCAATAAAGTAAATATTGGAAAGTCATGTGTTACAGCCCAAAAGCAGGCATTGAATGTGAATATTTAGATATCGCACAAAAACCCATATTCTTACCTCATGGAAAGGAAGTGCATATTATAAACATTTAGATATCGCACAAAAACAACGTATTCCTACCTCCTTGAAAGGAAGAATAAGTTATAAACAACTATTGCCAACATAGAAAGCATTAGAATAACAGATACTCTATCGAACTGTCGCTCTTCACGTGGGATATCCTTAGGATCTTTATAGTCATCTTTCATATATTCATTGAAGTACGGTCCACAATTCTGGGTCCATGCCTTTGCTGCTTCCTTTCTAAAGTGAATAGAAAAATTAATTGAATTTTATTCATATTTTTATTTCTTGACAACTTTGAAGTCAAACCTTCATCTTAAGGACACATTATGGTTATCAAGATAATCGTTTCATTTTATTACAAGGAACACTTTCTGTGATAAGCTTTGCCTAAATTAATAACAATAGAGAACATTCATAAATGTAGAAGTTAATTATGCTCCTGACAAAACTGAACATTGTAGGCTACTTTCAAGAACTGTCAGTTTCTGACAGTCAGCTCAATTACAAATGGCACTTTATCCTTGATTATACAGGAAGTTACAAATGTATATAATTCTACAATACAGTAAAATCCCATGCTAGAGTTATGACCTTGATTCATGATGGGGTTCTCTGAAAAAATCAAACACATGAAATATTATCGCAAAAATATGCAGAATTTTCAGTGACATATAAGACATGGAATGTTAAGCAGACACAAGGGCCAAGTTGGGTATCCTTACTATTCCTTGAAATATCGACCAAAGCACTGGTCCAGAATGTAGGTAGCAGATCATCAGTAAACACACAAATGAGCTGTGTCATGACAAAACCAACATAATGGGTTTGCGACCAGCATGGATCCAGACCAGCCTGCGCATCCATGCAGTCTGATCAGGATCCATGCTGTTCGCTATCTGTTTCTCTACTTGTTATAGGGTTTATAAACGAACAGCATGGATCCTGATCAGACTGCGCGGATGCGCAGGCTGGTCTGAATCCATGCTGGTCGCAAACCCGTTATGTTGGTTTTGTCGCGATGCGGCTCAAATACTTCTTAATCCCTTAACCTGCTAAATTTATGTAATGGTCATACCCTGCTTTGTATAAGGTACAGTCTATTAAAACTTTTATGGATTTTAATATCAAAATACACAAACTGAGCTGCCAACAGTATAGAACCTGGTCAGACTCCACAAATATGCAGGCTGGCCTGGCTCTATACTGTTTGTTAAGGATAATCACTTCCTGTTCCAGATATTGTCGGATACTCACGGTTGATTAACATGTAGCTGGACATAACATGCAATCAACAAGAGCTGTCGGTAGGACAGCAACGCTCGACTATTCTAGTGCTTGATAGTAAAAAATAATGCTTGCTACATTTACCTACTCCTGTTTACAGGTTGGGGTCATGATGGTGAACAAGTGTGCAAAGTTTCAAAGCCATATGTCAATGGACTTTGAAAATATTTGAACTATTACAAAAACTTTAACGTAAATTCTAAGTCGAAAAAGGGGCATAATTCTGTCAAAATGCTTGATAGAGTTACCTCCTTCTGTCTACAGGTTGGTGTCATGATGGTGAACAAGTGTGCAAAGTTTCAAAGCCATATGTCAATGGACTTTGAAAATATTTGAACTATTACAAAAACTTTAACGTAAATTCTAAGTCGAAAAAGGGGCATTATTCTGTCAAAATGCTTGATACAGTTACCTCCTCCTGTCTATAGGTTGGGGTCATGATGGTAAACAAGTGTGCAAAGTTTCAAAGCCATATGTCAATGGACTTTGAAAATATTTGAGGTATTACAAAAACTTTAACATAAATTCTAAGTTGAAAAAGGGGCATAATTCTGTCAAAATGCTTGATAGAGTTACCTCCTCCTGTCTACAGGTTGGGGTCATGATGGTGAACAAGTGTGCAAAGTTTCAAAGCCATATGTCAATGGACTTTGAAAATATTTGAACTATTACAAAAAATTTAACATAAGTGGTTACGCGGACGCCGACGCCGACGCTCGGGTGACTACAATAGCTCTACTTATTCTTATCGAATAGTCGAGCTAAATATATGATAAATGTAAATGGTTCAGCTTTGGGTATCTGTCGATGAGTTCCAGTGGGATTCACTTAATTTTGTTTGCTTGCATGAAATTTCGTGGTTTTGTCACAAAGAACATTTTTTGTGGGTTTATAGATTTGTTAACTGTTTATTTTTCCAAAATGTAATATAAATAAAGTAATGCAAAATAATCTTACAGCAGACAAAACAAAATTTTGTTAGAATTTTGTTGTGGAATGACTTATCCACGAAAATTTGTTCCCACAAATAATAATGATGTTACAGTACATAAAAGAAATTTTACCTCATTCTTGGGTCCTTATAAAACTTTGGGTGGTAATAATACTGTGGATGTTCTGGGTTCCAATTCTGTGAAGTAGGTACTTCATGAGCCCCCATATGGAACCCTTGTTTCAGGTTGTAGTCGTAAATCTTCCTCTCTGTTGGATCACTGAGTATGTTGTATGCATCATTGATTTTCACAAATTTGTCATGCAGAGATTTATCCGATGGATTAGCATCTGGATGCAACTGTGATAAAGAGTAAATTTGTGTTAGGATAATACAGAATAAATTTGAATCAGGATGCAAGAAAATAAACTAACATCATGATGCCAATGTGATACATAGTAGATTTTAATTATGATGCAAATTTGACACAAGAGAAATTTACCTAAGTATGCAAATATGATAAAACTTTCAATTAAATAAACTGTCAACATACAATGTAATGCTTTATTGTATGAAAATCAAAAGAGTTATTGTTAAATAGCATGGCACTTGTTAAAAATTTCATTTGCATATATATAGTAATAATGTTACTAAGAAAATCACATAAGAAAGTGTTGGACTGTTAGGCTTTAGCCTATATTGTTCATTACAACAGTGACTTTTTTTTACATTATATTTGCATCAAAATTAGGGTGGGGGAAAAATCCCGGGATCCGGAACGCCCGGGATCCGGGATCGTATTAGATATAGAGGGAAAACTAATAAACTATATTTGTGTTGGTTATTGTCGTAATGAAAGAGGATTAAACGTTAAGTTTTTATCTTTATTGTATGTAATGAACGATAAATTAATTTAACTTAGGATTTAAATATATTTAGAACTATCTATTATAAACTTAAAATGCGGAAATCACAATACTTATAATTATATGCCTAATTAATTGGAAAAATTAAAGACTATATTCTTGAATTGGCCAAATCCCGGGATCCCTATATATTTTAAAACGATCCTGGGTTTTCTGAAAACTATATTCTTGAACTGGTCAATTCCCAGGATCCCTTTATGTTTTAATACGTTCTCGGATTATCTGAAAAATATCTTCTTAGACTGGTCAAGTTTTGGGATCCCTATATTTTTTAATACAATCCTGAAACAAGTTTTGGGATCCCTATATTTTTTAATACAATCCTGAAAATCATGAAAAAAATAAAAAATATGTTATTTTTAAAGATTTTTCAAAACTACATTGTATTACAAATCAAACTTATTTAGAAATCTCTACAAAACTATTCAAATGATGATGATGATAATAATAATAATAATTAATAATACACCGAGAGTAGGTAGTCAATTCCCGGGATTACTATAATATGTTTAATACGATCCCGGGTCCCGCTTTTCTATAGGCGATCCCAGGAATTACCCCCCACCCAAAATTTGCCTGGGAATTACCCCCCACCCAAAATTTGCCTTTCAAAATTAGAAATTTTAGTGTGGTGAGCATACGCAAATAAAATAAGTAAATTCATTAGAGCAAATTAGAAATGAAAACAAACCTTTTTACTCAGTTCAATAAAGGCCTTTCTGATTTCTGTATCTTTTGCATCCTGTGGTACACCCAAAACATCATAGAATGTTTCTGATGTTGCTCTCCGAAAATTTTGGTGGAAAAAGGCACAACTGAAATAAAAATAAAATGTTTTTCATTAAACAAGAGGGCCATGATGGCCCTGAGGTGGCTCACCTGTATATAGGCCCCCTGGAAGACACCCATTAGAAGATGTTTTATGATGTTTAGTTTTTACTACACACATATAATGTAAAACAATGACCAGCCCCCCACCCCATGCCAGGGCCAATTTTAACACAAGGGCTTTTATTTGAACAAACTTGGTAGACAATCATAAGAAGATGTTTCATGCTAAATATCTAAGCTCTAGCTCATTGGGTTTTTTAAGAGAAGATTTTTATGTTTTTACTATACAAAGATAGTTAAAAAAATTGACACCCCAGGGGCGGGGCAGTTTTGACCCCAGGGCTTTTATTTGAACAAACTTTGTAGACACTTACTAGAAGATGTTTCATGCTTGACATCTAAACTCTAGCTATTTGGATTTTTTCATAGAAGATTTTTAAGTTTTTGCTACATATAAGGAAAATCAATGACCCCCGGGGCAGGGCCAATTTTGACCCAAGGGCTTTTATTTGAACGAACTTGATAGACACTCACTAGAAGATGTCTCATGCTTAATATCTAAACTCTAGCTATTTGGGTTTTTTCATAGAAGATTTTTGAATTTTTGCTATATATACACATATAAGAAAAAACCAATGACCCCCGGGGCGGAGCCAATTTTGACCCAAGGGAATTTATTTGAACAAACTTGGTGGACACCCATTAGAACATGTTTCATGCTAAATATCTTAGCTCTAGCTCTTTGAGTATTTTAAAAGAAGATTTTTTAAGTTTTTACTATACACATATAAGAAAAAACCAATGACCCCCGGGGCGGAGCCAATTTTGACCCAAGGGAATTTATTTGAACAAACTTGGTGGACACCCATTAGAACATGTTTCATGCTAAATATCTTAGCTCTAGCTCTTTGAGTATTTTAAAAGAAGATTTTTTAAGTTTTTACTATATGCATATAGGGAAAATCAATAACCCCCTGGGGCGGGGCCAATTTTGACCCTAGGGCTTTTATTTGGACAAACTTGGTAGACACTCATTAGAAGATGTTTCATGCTAAACATCTTAGCTCTAGCTCTTTGGGTTCTTTATAAGAAGATTTTTTAAGTTTTTACTATATGTATAAAGGGAAAATCAATGACCCCCTGGGGCGGGGCCAATTTTGACCACAGGGCTTTTATTTGAACAAACTTGGTAGACACTCACTAGAAGATGCTTCATGCCAAATATCTAAGCTCTAGCTCATGCCAAATATCTAAGCTCTAGCTCTCAGGATTTTTTAAAAGAAGATATTTAAAGTCTTTTCTTTCCGTTGCCATGGCAACCAGAGTTCTGCATGGAATTAAATTCTTTGAACAATTTTCAAAGGTGACCACCAAAGGAACATTCCTTTGAAGTTTGGATGAAATTGGCTCAGTGGTTTATGAGGAGATGTCATTTAAAGTAAAAATTTACAGACGGACGACGGACGGACGCCGGACGGACGCCGGACAAAAAGCGATCACAAAAGCTCACCCTGTGACAGGTGAGCTAAAAAAGGGTTAGAACAAAAGATGTACACATATAGAGAGCAAAAACAAAGAAAACTATGGTGGCCCTTACATCATTTATTACAAATCAAGAGATGCATCATTCATACATGTATCTTAATTAAGCACAGTAGTAGTAAAGGCAAAAATCCATGATAAAAATGAATGTCAAAATTTTCCTTTGATCTATCCCACAAACTGTTAGTTTTAAATATGAGACAATTTGTATTCATACTTGATTTGCATATATTTTTATAGAAACATCCCATACAGGTTTCATAAAATCTTGCCTTATGTTCAGTTGTGCATTGAATTATGAGTGTTTAACCCTATTTGGATATATGTTGTGCCTGTAGTGTTGCTAGTATTTAGAGATTAGCCTATTTAGATAATGCCTTCTTAACAAAATACTCACTCTCTGAGAACTCTCTCTCTTTGTGCCCTCAATAATACATGGACACTTTGGATTATAGTCAGTGATTTTCCTACTTATATAACAGACTCCGAAAAAGGGCCTCTTCCCAATTGAAATTTTCTTTAAAATCATGCAGTTTTCCCAAAACTCTAAACTTAAACCTGCTTTTTTCTTCCCAAATTAGCAATTTTAGCAATATTTTTTCCCAAAATCAAGAGGCTAAGGCCTCTTCCCAATTAAGCGAGAAAAATCACTGATAGTATTCACATATTAACACCGTTTTCCGGTACTTTCTGTACATAGCTCTGGAAAATTTAACTAATGGAGTGTACTGTAATAACAAACTCTTTGTGTCTTTTTTTTTAATTAAAGTGAAATAAAGCAGTTATTTCTTTGAAAGAAAATAATTAAATATCATTGAATGAATAATTCTATACAACAAGAGGGCCATGATGGCCCTGAGGTCGCTCACCTGTATATAGGCCCCCCGGAGCGAGGCAAGTTTAAACCCAAGGGCTTTTATTTGAACAAACTTGGAAGACACCCATTAGAAGATGTTTCATGATGCTAAGTTTTTACTATACATATATAATGAAAAACAATGACCTCCCCCCCCCCTGGCAGGGCTAATTTTAACCCAAGGGCTTTTATTTGAACAAACTTGGTAGACACCTATAAGAAGATGTTTCATGCTTAACATCTAAGCTCTAGCTCATTGGGTTTTTAAAAGAAGATTTTTTAAGTTTTTACTATACACATATAGTTAAAAACAATGACACCCCTGGGGTGGGGCCAGTTTTGACCCCAGGGCTTTTATTTGAACAAACTTTGTAGACACTTAGTAGAAAATGTTTCATGCTTAATATCTAAACAGTAGCTATTTGGGTTTTTTCAAAGAAGATTTTTAAGTTTTTGCTATACACATATAAGGAAAATCAATGACCCCCGGGGCGGGGCCAATTCATGAGAAGATGTTTCATGCTAAATATCTTAGCTCATGAGAAGATGTTTCATGCTAAATATCTTAGCTCTAGCTCTTTGGGTTCTTTATAAGAAGATTTTTTAAGTTTTTACTATATGCATATAGGGAAAATCAATGACCCCCTGGGGCGGGGCCAATTTTGACCCCAGGGCATTTTTTTGAACAAACTTGGTAGACACTCACTAGAAGATGTTATATGCCAAATATCTAAGCTCTAGCTCTTTGGGTTTTTTTAAAAGAAGATAATTATTTAAAGTTTTTTCTTTCGGTTGCCATGGCAACCAGAGTTCTGCATGGAATTAAATTCTTTGAACAATTTTTAAAGGTGACCACCAAAGGAACATTCCTGTGAAGTTTGGATGAAATTGGCTTGGTGGTTTATGAGGAGATGTCATTTTAAGTAAAAGTTTACGGACGGATGGACAGACGGACGACGGACGGACGACGGACGGACGACGGACGAAAAGCGATCACAAAAGCTCACCCTGTCACTTTGTGACAGGTGAGCTAAAAATATAAACTTAATACACAAGATTACGCAGAGAATATCTGTCTATTTATTATGGAAGATGCCACTACAACTGTTATAATTTTATTGATTTTTATTTATAAACAATTTATTTTTTGTAAATTGCAATAGATATTAAAGGAATAATCTCAATATTGATCATTTTCAATTAAACACATCAATTTTCTCACCTTTAACGGTAAAATAATGATAGAAAAATAGAAATAACATGCAATTGTGTTATGTTCTCATTTGGTGTAATTCCCCAGAGCTAAATCCGTAACATACCAGAAAACAGTGTTTAGCTAGGTTTTCGAAAAGGTCAATTAGGCAATATACAGATATGATATAGCAAGATCTCTGTTACTCAACTTTAATTAACTTTAATTAACTTATTGTGTTAAATACTTCTGTTGAGTTTTCAATATAGTAAAGTGGCAACCACATAATTGAGATAATGACACACATAATGCATAATGTTCAACACAATTTACCATTGGATATCAATTCTTTTACACAGTCTCAGGAAATTGCCTGCATACTTGTATTGAATGGGTGGCATGGCTTTCAATCTCCAATGGAAACCACCGAAAAATACTTTGTCAGTTACAATAGCACAAGAGACTTTGTCAGGACCACTTCCTGGTAAAATCTGAAACGATATAAAACATCCAAGAGCTTCATTTCTGGTTAGGCAAAGATAGTACGAATACATCTGGAGCGAATTGATCGTGGTACGAAATGGACTATAACAAATTTCCTGATCATTATAAAACAGTAAGACTTCAAACGTTCACACATAAAAAGTACAAATTTAATAACTGAAAACGAAATTATAATAAAAGGCACCCACCTCGGAACATTTAGAAAAATTTAATGTCTTCGTTGTTTTCTCTTACCTTTGCATAACAGTGGCCAAGTTCGATTTTACAACTTTCTGCTCACAGCGGTTACTTCCCTTGATACAGTGGTAAGCGTGCCGTTTCACACGTAGATCAATATTCTTTTTATCTCAACCGAGAAAGATATTATATATGCAGAGTTGCTGACACGTCATATCATATGACATCATTATTGACGTAAATAACCCAATAATGTCAGGAAAAATTACATCTTCGCTATAATTAAGTATCTGCAGGAATTTTTAAAGGATGGATCAAGATTGGAAGATTGCTTTCTAAAATTACATGTTGCCTTTATAATAAAGTTGTCTATTAGAGAAAACTACATGAATGTCCTGTTGATTTAAAACTTGCCAGAGTCAAACCTTTATACAGCGTCTTATAGAACCTGTCTAAATTCATATAAAAAAATATAGTACACTTGAAGTGGGCAACTATAGATACAGTCCTGTTGTAATACATGTATTTCTTTCCGAGCTTTTATATAACCAAAATATCCAGTTAGTAGTAATTTAGACATACTTTAGTAATAGTGTGTGACAATAAAAAAATAGACAAATTTAAACACAACAACCCTCCATTAGATTTATAAAAGAGTAACATCAAAGAACTAGTATAAGTCTTTCAGATTTTGCAGATAGGAACATGTAATGCAAATATTGAAAATGCCACTTTATCATATCCAAAAGATTTTTTATAATAAGTGTCAAACTTATTTGTAAACAAACTTTGTTAGGATGTCTGATATTACCAGGGTCTTTCAAATAATTATATTTCAAAGACCCTGGATATACACAAGCACAACATTATTTCTTTTATTACTTTTTTTTTATTAAGGGACAAGTTCAAAGACATTTTAATAAGACATTTATTGGCATTTTCTTTTTCTTTAATGGTATTAAAGACTGAAATAGTTCGCCAAAAACTGTATAACAAATCGAAATCTAACTTTATATAAAACTTCTATTAAAATCATGTTTTGTGACTAGAGTTATACAAATCGAAAGCGTCTTTGCAAAGTTGCGTCCCTTTCACGTTATACAACAACAGTAATGGCGGACACTGAAGGTGACGACCTTACATTTAATTTTCAATTAAACTCAGCTTTTGAGTCTCTATATGAATTGCATTAATTTCTGTGTAAGCATGTGTTGTAATCTTTGCAATTACCAGTTGTCACGATGATTACATTCATGCGATACGAGGTGTTAGTGATAATTTTGTGAATCCCTAAAATAGTCTAAATTCGACTTGAGGCCTGTCCAAAATAATTTTGTGTCAAGGCCTAACTCGGCCCTGAAATTGCCCGGACCACTTTCTAAGAATTTATCAACATTAAAACTTTGAAATGCTGTATTTATCTGAAATTTCCTATTGTGATTTTTTTATCATGGTTGCCAAAGTGTAACATTTTTAAAACTCATAAGTTATGGGGTAACCCGACCAGGGGAAACCATATGATACAGTCTAAATTATGCTACGGTCACTTCCTTAGAAAATCCCAATATAAATGGCAAAGAAAATAGCGGTCACTTGTTGTCCGAGGTCTGCGGCCACTAGAATCTAGGCTTCTGTAGAGCTGTCATCGATATCGACAATATCGATGTATCATAGATATTTTTTTGCCGATCAATAATCGATACACATTCTAAAAAATCGATACTTTTGACTAATAAATTAAATGTCTAGAAATTATAAAATTCACCCAAAATATATACAGAAGCAGTTATTTATATCTAATGTTATGCTTTTGTTATATAATGGAATTATTTCATAGCAATGGTGACAAAAAATATTTTCTAGAAAAAATCATGCAGTGGACAAGACACTGTACAGAACATGTTTTTGACTGAAATCATTGAAACAGGTATGAAAGTGAATGACAGACAAGTGAGTATAGGATATTATCGATATATCGGTGTATCGTTGATTTTAGTCACTTGATATCGATATATCGTTGATATGCTTTGCACTGAATCAATGACAGCTCTAGGCTTCTGTATGGCCATTTTGAACCTAGTCCTAATTATAAGACCTATACGTAACCTATTTCATATTTATCATTCATTAATCTGATATTTTACATTTTTCATTTTCCATGTTACGTTAGGTCTTAACAGATCTTTGCAAAATCGTGTAGCAAATAAATTGACATTAGACATCGATTTAGATCTAATGCATTTAAACAATTAAGACAGCGTGTATTTACATTAATTTTGACCTATTTATGAACAAAACTAAAAAATAAATACCTTTTAACAAAATAATTAAACTGTCACATCCGAAAAGTCATGATTAAATCCTCTCATTTAATTAAATTCCTTGTACAGCCGATATACAAATGGCCGCCATACAGTGCGCGAAATCTGATTGGCTAATTTAAATGCAAGCGTTTGAATGAGACGGAATATTTTTTCAACGAAATAATTGCCCATGCACTGTCAGTGTGTTTGAATATATTTTTCCGTTCAAAAAATTGGAATCAATCTGTAAAACGCTTTACTTAACCAGTATGGCCGATGAGCGAAATGGATTGATATTTATATTTTATTTTTAATTGATAACCAGTCTTCGACTTAACCCACTCGACCGAACGACCGAGTCGAGTAAATTTGCGGGTGGTCGAGTGAAAATTCCAAGCTGGTAGCCCGTCTGGTCGAGGCCTTTTTTCGTATCCAAATTAAGAAAATGTTGGAAATATGCAGAGTACCAGATAGCAAAAAAAAAATGTAAAAGAATTTGAAATAAATGGGGTTACCCAGTTGGGGCCTGAAAAAAAAAAAAAAAAAAAAAAAAAAAAAAAAAAGAAGGGGGCACATCCCCCTTCTGGCCACCCCCCGATGTATCTTTTGGTTGGGGGGCCGCGCCGAAAAAGTGGTCACTTTTTAGCTCGACTATTCGATAAGAATAAGTAGAGCTATTGTAGTCACCCGAGCGTCGGCGTCGGCGTCGGCATAACCACTTATGTTAAAGTTTTTGTAATAGTTCAAATATTTTCAAAGTCCATTGACATATGGCTTTGAAACTTTGCACACTTGTTCGCCATCATGACCCCAACCTGTAGACAGGAAGAGGTAACTCTATCAAGCATTTTGACAGAATTATGCCCCTTTTTTGACTTAGAATTTACGTTAAAGTTTTTGTAATAGTTCAAATATTTTCAAAGTCCATTGACATATGGCTTTGAAACTTTGCACACTTGTTCACCATCATGACCCCAACCTGTAAACAGGAGAGGGTAACTGTATCAAGCATTTTTTTTACTATCAAGCACTAAGAATAGTCGAGCGTTGCTGTCCTACCGACAGCTCTTGTTTAACAACTTTTCTCAAACAAAAACAAGTGTTTGGGGCCTAAATAAGGCATTTTTTCACCATTAGAGACAACAAAAAGGGGGGGGTGAAAAAGGCGTTAAAAAGCGGTATATGAAGTAATGGGTTAAAGGCACTCAGCTAATATTTGACATAATGAGAATTCAGTGTCTATTCTAGGAGGGGTGATTGGGGGATTTACACATATTTTTGAGAATTCACCCCTATTTTTTGAGAGGCAGGGGCAAAATTTTACATAGACAAAGAAGGAAAAAGATCAACAAATGTAATAATTTCTCACTTTTCGATAAAAATCCCACATAGACAATGAAGGAAAAAGATCAACAAATGTAATAAATTCTCACTTTTGGATAAAATTCCCCCTGTTTTTCGAATTCTAGAATAAACACTGGAGATTAGAATTTTTTCTTTTCCGAGATAAATGTTCCATTTAATGTAGGTCCAGCTAAAAACTTGTGTGCAAAATTTTAGATAATTTTCTCACTCTGTTTTTACAGAATAATTGAGCTGCCTCATGACAAAACCAACATAGTGCGTTTGCGACCAGCGTGGATCCGGACAGGCCTGCGCATCCGTGCAGTCTGATCAGGATCCATGCTGTTCGCTTTCAGTTTCTCTACTTGTAATAGAGTTGGTATGCCAACAGCATGGATCCTGATCAGACTGCGTGGATGTGCAGGCTGGTCTGGATCCGTGCTGGTCGCAGGCCCACTATGTTGGTTTTGTCATGACATGGCTCAATTATTCTTATTGTTAAAATGACCAGAAATTGTAAAGCGTTGCAACACTTTTGCTCTAATCAGACTGATAGCACAAATATATATGATTTTCAATTTATTTCAGTGTATAATTCTTAATTATTTTTTGCATGTCTTTCTATTTTCCAAGTTGATCTTTGAAAGAAATTCAAAGCTGATGTTTAAGTAGAGTTCATTTAAGGGAAAAAGAAAGAGCTCAATCAAATCAATTTTGCAATTCTCATGTAATTTTTGTAGTTTCCAAGGAGATCACCTCTTTTCCAGATTTTTCAACCTAGAAAATAGAGCCTGGTCAACTTGGGCTTGATACTTGGGGCAATTAAGGCTGGTTACTTTTGGTTCAATTCACATATCTATAATGCTATAAAATGTATAAAATGATATTTCATGTACTACACTACCATAGCAAAAACTCACTGTCATTGTTATTGTTAAACTTGAAATGGCTCATGGACTTGCCAAAGTCTTGTATATAAAAATTTTGTTCAACTTATTCAATAAATTCAGTATGAAACTGTTAAAAAAAAAAAAAAAAAAAAAAAAAAAAAAAAAAAAAAAAACAGATAGCAATGTTTTGGCTTTATGAAAATACAATCTATTTCGGCTGAATTGGATGGAAAATTAAAAGCACTATTGTCAACTTTTCTGTAAGTTGAAAACTAAAGTAAGCAGGAAGTGACATCGAGTACAAAGGGAAGGTAACTCTTGGGAGTTTCTGAAATAAAGTTAAATTTGGTGTAATCATCATAGGACTTAACCTAATATTCAATTTGTTTAGACATATATTATAATGATTTTGCTACAAAATAAAGAAAAATGTTGTACTTTCAGCCACTTTAGTTACTGGAAAACATATTTCTCCCTTGCCATCTGCAGTTTTGTACTCGATATTTTCGTAACAAGTTTACAGTTACAGACAATTTCTTCAAAGACTAATATTTTTTGTATAAAAGTTTTAAATCTATTACATTTATTTTTCTTTAATTCTAATTTCAATTTTAAATAATTAAAACCAAAGAACAGGCACTAAAATGTAGAAATAGAGTATGAATGAAGACTCATGCTGACCATAGCTGATTGTAAAAGAATGTGACACATTTAAACAACAACATGTCAGCAACAAAAAAAAATGAGTCTTGTCATTAATTTGCTGTGTATCCTAAACAAACCCTAGTCTATTGAAGCCTGCCTTAACAGAGCAAGTTTTGAATTATTTCACATTGAATCAATATTTTATTATAAGTCATGTAAAAGAAGGAACTTTTTAGAAGGCAATAAAATTTGATAATAAGACAATGCAAATTCTTTTTATAAATTTTTCCCCAGAATTTTCATTTTACTCTAGATTTAAAACGCTTATGAAATATTATTGATTGTTAGACATTTATTAGGCATCATCTCATGCTTCACAATATGTCTTTTCTCTAGTATTTTGAAGGCACTAAGCCAAAAAGGAACACACCAAAAAAAATAAATATGATATAAGTAATACGAAAAGGAACTTAAATATGTTGTCAATGCATGTATCAGCCTACATGGTTACTAAACAACGAGGAGAAGTATTTTTTTAAGTTTTTAAACAAATTTTTTTCAGTGTCTGTGGACAATGCCACAGAAATATCAAAATATCTTCTTTTCATATGTAGTTTAAACTCTTCTTATTTAAATAATGAAAGGAAGAAAAGTTGATTTGTTGATATTTTAATAATGTTAAATGGTATATAAAACATAATTATAGAAAGTGTTATTTCTGTACAAAATGTATGCAAAAAATACCATTTTGGTTCGGGCTAGTTAAAATGTGCTCGGGCTAGTGAAATTTGTAAGCTGCTAGCCCGACTGGGCTAGTGCTGAAAAAAAAATTAAGGCAAAGACTGGATAACTACATTTTTTGAGAGTCTATGTTCATGATAGACCATGCAATTGAAAGAACAGAAGATAAGCTTTTGAATAAAGCTTGAAAGGCAAGTCAACAGACATTTTTTTAATTTTTCAAAATGCTACGCGTTTATGAGCTTGAAGCCTTGACCAACATAAAACTATAACAAGCCTGTAATGTCTAATCTATTGGACTATTTTGAACCCAAAGTGTCGCCTTGTTTACATCAAACAAAAATTGAAAATACAAAATTACAAATAATGCTATATTGCGCACAATTAATGGCCGTTGATTGTTTAGATACGCTTGATTTATAAGGTAATGTAACGATTCGCCACACTAACGATTCGCCACATAACGATTCGACACAGAGTAATAACGATTCGCCACAGATAAATAACGATTCGCCACGTGTTCAAATACAAACTTTTTCACACCTGTTTTCAAATTGTTGATGGAAAATGTTTTTCCATTTTATATTTCATTTGTTAATTACATAGATTAATTACACTGAATAAAGCTTTTATTGAATAAAAAACACACGAAAACCAAATATTTTATTAACAAAATTACATAACACATTTTATAACTTCGTTATTGATATCAACTTGAAAAATATACTAACAACTTTTATAGAATAAAAACACACGAAATAAATATTTTATTAACAAAATTACATAACACATTTTATAACTTCGTTATTTATATAAACTGGAAAAATATAATAACAAACATTTATAGAACAAAAACACATGAAAACAAATATTTTATTACCAAAATTACATCACACATTAAATTAATTGTAGATGAGAAAAACTTCGTTATTTATATAAACTGGAATATTATACGAAAACAGCTTTTATTGAATAAAGACACATGAATACTAGTATTTTATTACCAAAATTACATTACAAATTGTAGATCTATAAGTTAAACTTCGTTATTTATATAAACTGTAAAATTAAAAGAAAACAGCTTTAATTGAATAAATGAAAATAAATATAATTATTACCAAAATTACATTACTGTACACATTTTAGATAAGGTATTTATATAACTAACATATTTTATTACAAAATTTACATACATAAGCTTAATTGCCGCATTGTTTTGAAATCTGCTCACATTGTCAGATAATTAAATGATTATTTCGGCGTCAATTAAATATTTATACAATTTAAGGTGATTGGCTTGTTAAAATAAAAGGTGTGACAAATGTTTTAGATATGCGTTCTTTAATCAATTATCGTAAATCAATTTTCGTAATGATCACATGTTTTTGCAATATTTTTTTTTTATTATTTGACATATATATAATATATGAAATATATATTTATTTCTATGAATGATAATGGTATTGTGATGTTCTTTGTTCCTTTATTTGCAGCTGTCTGTTCTCAGTAAGAATGTCATCAGTTAAAACTTTTTATGTTATTCTTATTATTTTTTTCTTTGCTTTGGTCATGTGACCACAGAATTATTATATTTATTATGTAACGAGATATACTGTAAATGTATAAGTTACCGAAATAAACTATTTCTCCTCTTCTTCTTATATTAATTGACATTTATGTTTATGATTAATCAACATATATAATTACTTTCTTGTAAATGTACTCCTGTAATAATGTTACTTTGATAAATTGAAAATCCGCGATGGGGGCTTTAAGTTCATGTTACTTGTATAAAGAAACATTATTAAATTATTGTCATTGTCAAATTATTAAAACGAAAGGAAAAAGTTTGTTGATAACTAAAAAAGTCATTGTTAGATCTATAATCATACTGTGGCGAATCGTTATTTAACTGTGGCGAATCGTTATTACTCTGTGGCGAATCGTTATGTGGCGAATCGTTAGTGTGGCGAATCGTTACTAATTCATTTATAGCATATCGAGAATGACCGTTACAACTTGTCCCTTTTAATTAATAGACACAGTTGCTTGTCCAAATTTAATTAATTGAACAATTGTTTTATAAATGAAGCAAGTACAAGGGGAAGTTACAATTGTAATAAACCCCAATTTAGCATTCACAAAGAGTATTGTCTAAAAATGAACAACCTCAGCCAGGTCTCCTTAATTATGTATAAAATTCACAGGTTTACAAGTTCATCATGTAGGATTAATGTATGAAGTGATAATGAAAAAATTCATTACAGATTGAGAAAATTCAACACATTATTGAAACTTAAAGTTAAAGAACAGAGATTCATCACTATATCCATTGCTTTCTGCCTGGGGTTTTCTGTCCATATTTCAGTATTTGCAATATTAAAGAGAGAAAATGTGAAGAAATGTGAAAGTTCAAATTAAAGAGAGGTCAATAGATCAAGCATTTATTTTGAATCATGTGGTTTCAGAAGTGAGAAATGGTTGTGAAAGTTAACAAGCAAGATGAAGGTGACTGATATTAAAAGACACACAAGCATGTTTTATAACTTGACAAAGTGCACAGGGTGTCTGCAGAGGCTACTCAACACTACCAAGTTTGTCAGGTATGTTGCATTGAATAGAATGATACTTACAATTTAATATTTTAATATAATTTATTAATATTTTAAAATTCTACTCTTAACTATTTATAGCTCCCTTTCTTTATAAAAAGTGGAGCTATTTTCTTGGCCCTCATGTTCATTTGGCATTGTAATTTTTCTCAGAGACTTATAAACAGATTTAACGTTTCTCAGAAACTCATTGCACATCATCACTACATGTTTATTATGAAAATGTTGACCCCATTTCTGAAAGGTAGGTAATCTCTCTAAGTGTGGTGGAGTTGCCGAGTGGTTAACACGTCAGACCAGTTACCTAAAGATTGTCTGCTGTGTGGTTCAAATCCTGTTAAAGTTAAGCTGTTGTGTCCGTGAGCGGGAAACTACACTCATTGCTTAGTACTGGTTGGTTCCAGGAACTTATTAGAAAGTGTTTCAATAACTTATGCTTATATCTTCCAACACAATCAAACTAAAATAACTTTATATAAACTAATTTGCATTTGTTTACCTTTCTGTCAATTTTTCTCAGAAAGTTTTTAACTTTTCTCTTGAATTCTGTAAACATGTTCATTATCAAAATGTGATGCCATTTCTAAAGGGTAAATAATCCTGAAATTAATTTCTACAAAGTTGCATTGGTCGCTTTTCAGATTTTTTGCCCAAGGTTAAGTTCTGTTTTCTCATAAACCAAATGTATCAAAGCTATTGGCTTCAAACTCTGTGTATAGTACTGTATACATGTATGTTCATTATCAAAAAGTGACACCATTTCAGAAGGCAGATAAGTCTATTTCTTTCCAATTTGTATGTTTAGCATGTATAAAGTTAAATGTTTACTTTTTACTGCAAGTGTCAAAAGAATTTTCAAATATTTAAATCTGCTCTGACATATTTCAGGTTCAACAGCAATAGTCATTATGCTGCCCTTGGTTTACCTCCAACTGCAACCCAAAAAGAGATCAGGGATGCCTATATTAAACTTTCGAAAGAGGTATATTACATGATATTGTTTAAATATTATTTTTCATACAGTTACACCCAATAAGGCTGTTTTCCCTAGCCAAAAAGAGATGATTATTTTCCCTGCAAAAAAGATGTTTTTTTTGTGTTTTTTTTTGGTAAGAGACATGATCAATAGACTCAATATCAGAGATAAATTGTCACAGAGAAATCTTTTGAGCCTAATAGGCATATTAATCAGAAGTTGTTTAAATGTTGTATTAATTCTCTCCTTTACATTTTGCCGTTCTACTAAGTACTATAACGCACTTATTTAAAATCAACTGAGATTGCCATGTAATAATATAGAAAATGCCAAAAAATAATCTGTATGTAAACTGATATTAAAGTACTTCATTCTTAAATTGTTTATGTAACATGCATGGTACGTAGCAGAGGCCATAAGGACATCTTTCTGTCTTCTAGCTAATGTAATTCAGATGCTGTTAGTAATGGTTCTGGGGCGTCCGTGGCCGAGTGGTTAAGGTCTTTTACTTCAAACCACTTGCCCCTCACCGCTGTGGGTTCGAATCCCGACAGGGACTTTGGATTCTTTCATGTGAGGTAGCTATCCAGCTAGCTTACGGAACGTCGGTGGTTCTACTCAAGTGCCCGTTCGTGCCTGAAATAATGCACGGAAGGGCACCTGAGGTCTTCCTCCACCAGTAAAGCTGGAACGTCGCGATATAACACCCAAAACAAAAAAAAAGTAATGGTTCTGGTGAAGAAGTGCACAAGGCATTTCAGGGGAAAATATTAGCATTTTTTGGGGAAAATATACCTATTTTGAGCTAGGGGATACAGCCTTTATTCGGCTTTAAAGTACATGAAAAAAAATTACTGTATACATATTCATTGCAGCATCATCCTGATCAAAATCAACAGGACAAAGACAGTCATGAGAAATTTGTGAAGATAAATACAGCGTATGAAGTGTTAAT